TGACATTCTTCATTGTAGAGCGTCATAACCAATGACATTTCAACCATGGGAAAATAAAGATATGCAAATTTGAACTCATTAACATTTGCATTACCTGTTTGAATAATCACACTTCTGACAAGACTGCAATTAAGCAAGATTGATGCAAAGTTCAGGGTTAGGGGACGGTATATATTTGCTCTTGGATCATTTACCCAAGATACGTGTGTGTTGTGGAGGCTCAGTGTGTCAGATAGAAGGACTGATCTCTGTGAGAGGAAAAGGTCATCCAGTAGCCATCAGTACAGCTGGATTATCTGTCAGAAATATTCTGAATTTTCTTTAACATTTCTTCTTAAGACAGCAGTGAGAGAGCTTTCTCGCTACGACCTGCGTTTTAAAAAAAATGTTTTACATTTAAAATAACATCTTAGGACATGTGTTACGTCCACAGAGAACTGCTCAGATGAAGTGACTGACCTGCTAACCCAGTTAACTCTAGCGTGGATAGTCAGGATTAGTCTTTGACTTTAAGGAAGCTGAGCGGACTGCACGGCTCACCTTTAGACGGATTGAAACAAGCAGACAACAGTGTTTTTTTTTTCCTGCTCTCAGATCAGTTTGTTACAGTTTCTGCAGCAAAACTTCTACTTAGGAGCCTCCTGTTAAAAAAAAAAAATCACTTTTCTCATCATATTTGTTGGATAGCATCAGTTCTTTAAAGACAAAATAAATGCAGTCAGAAACAATTTTACAAATATATGCTGAATATTTTCAACCTGCATCAAACATGACAAAGTGTGCAGCCATGGTATGCGTTTAATTAAAGTTTTAAATAGAAGCAGATGAAAGATTGTGGGATGCTCGAGCACCCAGTCTCCTGTGGGTTTAGTGTGAACACAGGAGAGTTGGTAACACAATTTGTTAAAGACAAAGACTTTGTCTCAGTCGGAACTATTTGATTGGATCCTTGTGAGGTCTCTGTAGGACAAAATGCTCTGCCAGGACAGCGTGCCACACTGCGGCTCTGTGCATCGAGCCAACTGTACTGTTTTCTTCCTCTCTTATGCGTCTCACTAAAGCAACAAACGGTGCATGGCGATAGGTCAGCCTTCTGTTTGGTCTGTTAAATGTGGACAGCTCAGGGATTTTTTTCAGAGAAACTGCTTCTTTGCACTGTGCAGGAATCAGCTGTAGGGCAGCAGACAGTGGATTTGACCTCAAACAGGAAGTCTGACTGTCTAATGTTATACGTTAGCAGATCACCCAGACAGACTACAGTATAAATAACCTTTAACCCAGCCGTTGGAGGAGCTCGCCACGCCACACGTGCCTACAAATTAACACTTGGTTCTATTTGTAAATGTAGGTCAGACAAGGGTGTGGTATCCTCTGTTTACTGGAAACCTCTACCTGTCTAACAGGAGATTATCTTGGTGCCGTCATCGCCGCTCGCCGGTGCTGAGGAGGGATTTCTGGGTTTTACTTGCGTATGATTTTGCACAACCCGGGATGACATGGGAATACAATGAAAACCCTCCAGCTGAAACAAAACAAAACAAAACAAAAAAAAGTATAACCACATTATGATGATGCCTCCCTTTGCTCTGGTGTGGTGGTGTTTGCTCATGCATGGGTGGGGGATTCCCTGATTATTGCAAGTTTCAGTTGTTTTTATGATGTTTTTCTTGCACAACCTCCTTCACGGTCAACACACTGAACAGGAGAAAAAAAAAAGCAAGCCAATGTGTGTTTGTTCAACAGCAGCATTTCCTCTGTTAACAAAAAAAAAGAAAAGAAAGAAGGATGCTCTCAATGTTAATGTCCACTCTACAGTTATAGCACCAACCATTGGCCACCCCTCTCTGCTGCCCTGAAATGGTCCAGCCCTGATTTGCATAAGTTGTCTGCGGGTAGCTGCATGACCAGCAGGGGTAGGTTAGGAGAAGGAGTGCATGTGGTCTATATACACATGAGTAGAGACACGGACAGAGGAGCTGTGTGTGGACTGTATTGTGAAGCTTGGAGTCTTGCACTGAACCAGACAGAGTTATGTACTGTGCTCATCCTGTCTCTGGCACAGGCAACAACTCATTGATGTACTGCTACAACATGAAACCAGTGAGTACATGTTTTCTGTGTGTTTCTCTGACATGTCAGTGTGTTTGGCCATGATGATGATGCTGTTGTTTGTTTGTTTACTGGTTGAATCATATGTTCTGTATTTTTTTTGTGTGTGTGCATCATTATGGGATTGCTGGTAGAACTGGTGTAAAAGTTAACATTTTTCTAATTTCTTAAGAGTTGTTGGGGATGTTTCCTGACTTTGCGTGTAACATTTGAGAGGATGTGAGATTGTTTCACGTGTGTCAGTGAGGAATAAAAGGGAGAAGGAGCTTTATGATCTGTGAAGCTTTTTATTGAACTTGGGAGAGTTAAGTTTGTGTGACATCATGAGGTTAAAATCTCAGTGAGTTCTCCAACTGATCATTTTAATGTTTATTATAACACCATTTAAATCATAATTTATTCAAACTCCCCATGCACATTTAAAACAACATCCACATTCATTAGCTGAGTACTGTAACATGTCAACTGGCTGCTGGTTTTAGGTTGAAAAAAAAGAAACTGTTAAAATGCACCAGCGAGACTCTCGTGCTTCTTCCTGTTTGCTGAGTACCATGTAGTCAAGCCTGGCAGCAGAAAACATCTTGACATGAAGCAGATTGCTGCTATTTCTATTTGATTTAACCCCGCTATGTTGGAGCAGTCCCTCCACCACTGCAGCCATTATCAAAGGCAGCTTTGATCTCTGTGAGACTAACCATATCCAGACATCGTGGATCACAGAGGCAGAAAATTGGTTGCATGTGGCTGGAGTTGGCCATGGTGGAGCACAGGATGGGCCTTGAATAGCAAGTTGATATTTCACTCATCTAGCATCATAATGCCGTGTGCATTCACAATGGGACTGTAGCTGTTTGTCCTTTTTATTTGTGTGACTTTATGCATATTTTTTTTTAACTGAAAATAAAAGAAATTCAGCTGATATAGTGACATCAAGGACACTTAAATGAGATTGTTGTTTCGAGCAGATATTAATTTATAGTATTCCATCTTCTTTAAAAGAAGAAGAAGAAAAAAAAAGTCCTTTATCATTTGTGATTCCATGATTGATGGTTCCTAAATCAATGCTATGCTAAAAGAGGATGCCATGGTGACGGCCCCTCTCCAGCGGGGGCCAGAGAGGGCGTGCTGGGGCGGGGGTGTGACCATTATTAACGGGTCGCCTGCTATGCTGATGGTAAGAAGGACAATTGGCTTTATCCTCTGCCATATGCTGCCCATGGCGGCTCAGACGGGCCCAGTGTCGACAGGGGCTCCTCTGTTTGGCCTAGCCCACAATCACCATGGGACTCATGCCAGCCAGGGTCACGGCTGTGTGTGTGTGTGTGTGTGTGTGTGTGTGCGTGTGCTTAAATGCGTGTGGCTTTGTGCGTGCGTGCGAGTGTGCTTGCACAGGCATACTCAAGAGAGTCTTTAATAGCCTGCTTTACAGAACTTGTCGTCCGGGTAACTGACACCCCATTGATGCTGCGCAGGGAGGTTTATTTTCATTTCCTGGGGCACATCAAAGCAATCGAGAGAGGTGCAGGTGCAGCCCAGACCTCTTGGTGTGTTTGAGTGATTGAGCATGTGTTGGTGTGTTTTGTGTGCATATGCGCCGTTTGTGGTCCTGCACTTCACAATTAAAAGCAAAAAAAAAAAAAAAGAAAAAATCCACATACGCTGAAGGCATTTTTAATTCTTCGATTTGTTTGTTATTAATATTTAGTTTCCTGCTGGGGAGGATCATTAGGGTGAGACTCACTTCTCTGTTTGGCTTCTTTCTGAGGACAAATCATGAGAAAGGCTTGGAATTCAATTTTTGTTTGAGGGGGGAGAATTGTATCCCAGTCTTCTGAAGCCAGCCGAACCTGATCATGATTAGGGCAGGGATTTCTCATGGTGAATGGTTCCTAAATCCGGATGAGGAGGTGCATGGATCTGCAGCTTATGGATTATCGCAATAGCTCTAAGTGTGCATCAGCTCTCTGCTTTGTTTTCGTAATACTGTTGCTTCAGCTCGCGCTCGCAGTATTCACACGTTTGTCAGATCGCCACGACTGATACACATTCAAATTAGTGTTTGTGTACGTAACCTTGTGTTTCTCCCTTTACGTATCTTCTTTATTATTTATCTTTTTTTTTTTTTTAGGTTTATGGGCAGTCTCCCAGCACTGACAACATCAACCAGAACTCATTGTCACATCCGTCAACCAAGGCCCCCAACAATGTGTTCGCAAGCACATTCTTCGGTGAGCTCAGACCTTCCCGAATGATTATGTTTATCCATCCATAGAATATTTTTGCTTTGGTTCGGTATTCATTCGAAGCTGTCATCCCTTTACTAAGTTGGCACACAAATACAAGACATCAAGTTGGAGTTTGATTAACCACCTCCACCACATGAACACACACCAGTGGCCTGCTTTGTCTGTTTCTACATGTGCAACAGTGGTTTAGCCTTTTCCTCTATAGAGTCAGATAAATTACAGTTTTCCAATCATAATCAGTTCCAAATTTATAAGAGAGGAAATTAATTACATCAAACCAAAATGTCACTTCATGATAACAAAGACACTATCAAACAACCTACCGCCATGCTTGGGGCTGTACTCTGCTTCAAGCAGGTAAAACCTTGTGCACCATCTTAGTTTAACATGAGGACATTGTTTTTTTCTTGTCATAAAGCAAAGTGTTGGACAAATTTAAGATTCAGCCTCATGGTGGCACAATTTGAAAAGTCAAGAGGTCACCAAAATAACTGCAATTCATTTTGAGTAAGACGTTATATGTGTACCAAATTTAAAGTTGTTGGAACAGTTAATCAAAATCTCAAATGTGGACCTTGTGGTGGCATGAGAAGAAAAGTTTGACGATAGACTGGATATAAAAGATGGATGTAGCCTAAGTTTGGAATTTAGATGTAGACGTCTTGGTCTTTTAAAGCTAAACTTGGTTTGATCTGACTTGAAAACAGCCTGTACAGTAGCGCTTTCTTAATCACAGGGTAGCTCACATGCCCTACTTTGTCATCTGCTTTACTCTGACTGGGACCATAATTTGCAAATTGAACACTGTGCCTTATTAAAGGAGACTTGACCCTAAGGACTGAGACCATAATCCTATTAGGAAAATGTTTGCTGAGGTAACAAATCAAGTGAGAAATAGCGTCATTTTGTCATAGATTTCTATACGATCAGACTTCTTTGAGGAGTTGCCCCCTGCTGGTTGTTAGAAAGACTGCGGGTTTAAGCCACTTAATTTTTCAGACCAGAAGGCTGCATCCGTTCTTTGTATATAATCTGTGACTTGCAGGCTCACCAGAGTCAGTGGTATTAGTCATCCTGGAAACACCAGTCAGTATTTCTACCAATGCATGTTGTAGTTGTTTAGATATTTTGTTAGATTTTATACATTTTCTGCTACGTGAAGATTCAGAGATCACTAATACGAATTATCCTCTCGATGTCTGTACGTAATTTCACGGCAAATTGAGATTAAAAAGAACAAGTTTACATATTATAAAGAGCCAAACTTGGCACGTTCTAAAATTCCCATAAACATTGTCACATCAGAGACATTAATTGGTGTTGTCCACCCATTTCCTGTTTTTAGCTTTAATTCAATCTGTGAAACTCTGTGATTGGACTTCATTGTTTTCATAGAGGCCACCGGGCTGTTTGAGATGCTGTTCCAGTGCTGACTATAACATATCGTTATTCATTTTAGAGGGGATGAGCAATTCACCTGACATCTGGAATGCTGTAAACGGGCTGAACCAGCAGGGCTATGAAGGTGCGCTGGGAGCAGCCACAACCCACCAAACACAGCCGGCCAGCTACAGCAGCCTGCAGCCGACACACAGTCACCTGGTGAGATTTACCTCCAGGTTGTTGGATGTTGAGCTGTCTGACCCTCTTTGGTTTTAACCGTGTGCCTGCGTCTCGTTCAGGATTACTCTCCGCATTCGGTGATGGCTGCTGACATGAACAGGGGTCTTCCGCCCATGTCCACCTTTCATCGCAACAACACAGTAGCTCGCACCCCGTCAATCAACACCTCAGAGAACTCTGCAGGTGAGGAAAAGTGCATTTTTTCTCTGATTTGATTGCTACTTTTTCTACATTCTTTTAATAAATGTTTTTTTTATTCAGTCTCAGGGAGCCAAGGAAATGTGTCAGGAGCATCACAGACAGGCGACACCTTGGGCAAAGCTCTGGCCTCTGTAAGTAGGCACCACCTCAATCCCATTAGACCCGTTCATCTCTGCCCCGTTATGTTCAAACAGCCAGGTCAGAGCATAAAACCAAGTCCTGAGAGCCCCAGTGGTATAATGCAAAGCTTCCTCCCGGCTAGCAACAGATCAGTGCATATTAAAGAAGGACTACTTTCGTGCTGCAAGACTTTTTATTGGCTGCTGACTAGTAAAATGACCAGAATTGATGAGTTTAGTTCAGCTTACGAGCCCGCTCCAAAGGTTGTGGCAGCAGCTGTAAAACCCTGCACAGAAATGACAAGTTGTGCTTTTAAAATGATCCATGCCCCGGTCTCACTGCTCCCACTCTTCCTCTCTCTCCCTCTCGCTGTCTGCTATCAGATTTATTCCCCCGATCACACCAGCAGCAGCTTCCCCTCCAGCTCGTCCACACCGGTGAGGTCTCCGTCTCCGCTGCCGAACGCAGCTGAACCTGCAGGTACATTGAAACAAAAGCCTGCAGCCTGGTGATGCATTACTGAAATATGATTTTAATTCCTGTATATTCCTGTGTCTTCATGTCCTGTTTTGGTTGTTTTTGTCCTCTCAGGTACCAATATGTGGCCCCGCAGCTCCGTTCCGGCACCGGTGTCGCCACATTATGAGTCTTCACTTATATCACTGGTAAAGAGCTGATCTGATGTGTTTACAAGTTTAGATTATTTATTGTAACATATCAAGCCAATACATGTGTGGATATATAAAAATAAAAACATATTTGAAAAAAATTAAATTCAAGAGAGTTTGCATAAAATCAAATAAATACATTTTAGTAACAAGATGGACTGGTGACCTGTCCAGAGTGTCCCCTGCCTTCACCCTAAGTCAGCTGGGATAGACTCCAGCCCCCCATGACCCTTGTGAGGATGAAGCGGTGTATAGATAATGGATGGATGGATTTTAGTAACAAACATCCAGCAGAAACCAAAACTGGGTGAAAACTGAAAAAGCAAACAACACACAAATCTTAAGCAATAAAGAAATAAATAACTTCTATTATGCAATAATATTTCTACTTGTACTAAACCTTTGGTTCACTTTTACACATAATCTATAGCTTTACATAGTATAGTAGCATTTTTTTTTCTATTTAAGTACTTTGAGAACAAAAACATCAACAACAACAGCAAAAAAGAGTCATTTTCTTTAAATATGAACACATACTTGACCAATAAAGCTTATTTTGATTCAGAATATTTGGGAAATAAGCTTATTTTACTTGAGCTGAGATCAATAGCAGTATTGTCTCTGTCCATTAAAATTGCAGCTACAGCATCTTAGCTTAGCTTAGCATAAGCAGAAAATCTGGCTTTGTCCAAAGGTAACAAAATATGACAATCAGAACCTCTAATGCTCACTACGTAAAAAGTTATGGTTTGTTTATTTAACAGGGTGACCAAACATCCTGTTTTCCTCAGACATGTCCTGTTTTCACATCCTGTCCTGGCTGTCCTGGTTGTTTTTTAAAAAGTGATGAAAATGTCCTGGTCCTGCCCTGGAGGAGGCATACTTTAAATGTATTGAAATGATAAGGCATCTTTGAGTAAACTTCAAGTATCATTTGAGTATCTCAAGGCTGGGTTGAGTGTCCTGGTTTTGGGTCATGACCATATGGTCACCCTATATTTAATCCATACAAAATCTGAAGTCTAAAAACCCCAAATGTAGTTTTAGAGTGTTTTTGTTCCGTTCACTGTCACAAAACAGATCAACAGTAGGTGTTTCCTTGTTTCCAGTCATGTGCTAAGCTAAGCTAAGCTAAGCTAATCAACTGTTGAGTGTAGCTTCATATTTAACAATCATAAATCATAGTTGCATTGATTTTGTCAATTAGTGAATACGCCCATTGCCATTAATATTCAACTATTACTAGAACATTTCTGTAATTTATGTTAAAACTTAGACTTGGCAATCTCACTCTAAACTGAATTCAAACTGCTAAAATTTCCTTTTTTTTTTTTTTTTTTGGAGGGAAAAGATTAGCTTTACTCTTCATTGTGATCTTATCTTTCAAAGACTGTCTTATCTTTAGCCTGTGTCTCAGGACTGTTTCCTGCTGTTTCCAGTCTCAGGTGGAGGACCGCCTGGACAGACTGGACGATGTGATCCACGTCCTGAGGAACCACGCTGTGGGTCCTACAGCCGCTCTGCCCCCCGACATCCACGGTCTGCTGAACCAGACCCACCACGGCCACCCGGGCTCTGCCAGCACTCTGCCACTCTCCTGTCACCCTCCAGCCATGGTTAACAACCATTACTTTGAAGTATTTAAAGCAGGACAGGCCAGTGTGTATGGAAATTCCATGTTGCGTGTGTGTGAGTGCGTGCTGGTATTCAATTTCAGGAATTTTCCACCCGCTACGTCTGCATGTTGTCCCCATGTAAAGGTGGTTGTCCTTGAAATCGGAAACTGAGCACAATGGGAGAGCGCTGCGATGTGTCGTCCTTGCATGGGAAACGTACAGTATGTGCGGACTCTAATTCCACTGTGGGGCGATGGGGGACGGCGGCGTCGTGCACTCCCATCCAAGCGTGTTTCCCTTCGAGCAGACCAGGGGATTTTAGCCCAGCTGGAGTGGAAGTACATGCAGGGGCACGGGGTTTTTAGTTTAATCCTTTGAGGGGGAGGGGGGTATTAAATTCTCACACTTTTATTTTTTTTCCAAAGGATGCTGTCAGTTAGGAGCGAATCATTCCTGAAGAGAATTAGGGGTATGTTTAGGGAGTATGTAGTAGTTTTAAGAGACGGATTAAGATTGTCTGAGATTAAATTAATTCTGTAGAGCGAGAGATCTGCTCGGGGTCACTTCGGAAATGAGAGGGCAGATGTTGGTTTTGTGACTCACTTGTTAGTGGATGCAAGAGCTGGATATTGTATGTGACCGACTGTCTTAGGAAGATTTATGGAGCCACATGATCATTAATGCTCCACATTATAGGATCCTCATCTGCTGAATTCTCCAACGTGGGCTGTTGAATGCATGAATATTACCTTTTTTTTTTACTCATGCAGTTCTTTGTTTGTCATAAAGGTTGAAGCTGTCAGTATGAACAACAACCACTCGGCCTTCCAGAGTCGCACACAAAATGGCCACCCGTACCCGGCCAGACAGAGGGCCACGCTGCAGCCGGCGCAAGGAGGAGGCAGAGGTGAGTTATCCCTCTCATCTATCACCGGATTCGTGTGTTTCACCTCCTCTGCCTGCGCTCTTGAAGCCTTTCCAGCTATAATATGATTTTATATTCGCTGTGATCTCTCCACAGGTGGTCTGGGAGTTCAGGGTAATCTGGAGCTTAAGATGGAAAGCGTGGAAAGGGAGGAGATGATGCACACAAATCACGGTCACAGCTCCGACAGCCAGAGATCAGATGAGGAGAGCGAACACAAAACACAAGGAGACAGGTAAACAGCCCCGCAATGGAAAAGGAAACTGTTAGAAAAATAACTATTTTGTGCCCCAGACTCCTGAATCTGAACAGCCAGGCCTGTATGTAGAGATGTTTGTGGGCTGCATGATTAATGATCTACAATAAAAATATGAATTAAGGCGAACAAATAAAAGAATGCATTGTGACTAATGTGATTAATAGAGGAAAATAAACACAAATGACAGTTGGTTCACTGTTTATTTAATGTCACTACGCTACACACGATCAAATAAAAGTCCCTGGCCTCGAAAGCAAGAAGAAGAAGAGAAACCTTCTTGCCTTTTGGTTGCACTAATTTAAAACACTGTGAGCCCCCCGCTGTGAAGGACAGCTGTGTCGAGTTGAGCCTGTTTAGCTCTGCCTCATATTTCTTCTTGGTGTTGCTTTAAGTTGCAATGAATTAGATGAACAAAGAACAAAGAAGAATAAGAACAGCTACCAGGACGCACGCTTTGTGATAAAGACGTCAGTGACACAAAGATGTATTTTGGTTGTGGGGTTATATCAAGAAAAAAAAACAAAAGACAAAGCAGACCATAATAAGTCATCACCCCAGTAGCCATTAAGAGTGAAACACAGTTCATGCCGAGCTTTTCTTCTCTTGCATTATTTGCGGCTTCTTTGATCTGATGATTTATTTTTCTTGATTAATCATTCAACCTATAAAATGTAGAATGTCATGAACCCAAAGGCATTTAAATGTGAAAAAAAAAGAAAGAAATGGAGCAAATTATCACTGATGAGAAATTGCAAACAGGGAATGTTTGGTATTTTTTTGCACCATTCTTCATTCATACTGTTGCAGATTTATCTTCAGTTGGCCAAATTAATCTACTAAGTGTTTCAAGTCAGTCACTGGAAATGTATAAAGTCGGAGATTTACAACCAAACTGTGCGTCTTGAAAAGCTCACAGCGTCGAGTACATGTCCTGGTGTCTCTGCCCACAGAGGTCACTTCGGGCCAAACTTCTTCTTGACATCAGCTCTGATGTCTGAGTGCATGTTTTCTTTTTATTTAGATCCATAATCTAGTTGAGGGATATCAGTACTGACGTATGTGGATGACCTCCAGCAACAATTTTCTTTTGGGCATTGCTTGTTTTGTTTTTTTTATTCAAACCAAATGATAAAATAACAGAAAAGAAAGCAGGAAAATTGTGCAAATGTGGGACTAGGAGTGGACATTGACTGAGGATGGATTTTCTAAAAAAAATAAAAAAGTGGTTTTAAACACAAATGCTCCGATGGGAGATTGTTAATCATGGGTCTGATTACATGAGCCGTCGCCTGTGTTTCATGTAAAACAGTTTTTGCAGAACAAATGAGAGTCAGATGACCTCAGGAGACTGAACAAGATCATCTTTGCTCATCAACCAGCAGAGGGCAGAGAAATCCACAGTATAACTTTCCACAGTCTGCCTCCCTTCACTTTGGACATCAGTTTTAAATCTGCACGTTTTAATGTTGTAGCATCCATGAGGACGAGGACCTGAGTCCGGAGCAGAAGGCCGAGCGCGAGCGGGAGAGGAGGATGGCCAACAATGCCCGCGAACGTCTGCGTGTTCGGGACATCAACGAGGCCTTCAAGGAGCTCGGTCACATGTGTCAGCTGCACCTGAAGAGCGAGAAGCCGCAGACCAAACTGCTGGTGCTGCACCAGGCTGTGGCGGTGATCCTCAGCCTGGAACAGCAAGTCAGAGGTCAGTGCATCTTTGCTGCAGGGAGGTGCTGCTGTTCTCCTCTCTGAAGATCCCACCACACTGGGAAGGGATGACACCTCTTTGACACTTTAGAATAAATGAAGACAACTAGACATGCTTTAATGCTTTTAATTTATAAAAAGAAATACCCTTCAATTATTTTTAGTCATGCCTTTTTTGCATTCATTTTGTTGAACTCATGTATTCAGTTTTGACCACATGAGGGCAGCACAGTAAGCTGCAAACAAAGCAGACGTTCTCACTTTATAGAACTGAGATGGTGAAGCTGATAGCAGTTGCAGATGATGAGGATCATTAGCATTCACTCAGGGTTGTGCTTCGACCCACCTGAGAAAAAATGCGTCCAGAGTCACCCCCCTTTTTGCTCTGTTTTTGGTCTCCACCAAATTACCTTAAGGAATTTATGTGGCTCATTAGCTGCTAAATGCTCTGCCGATCACTTTGTCTGCCATTTAGTGAGTCTTTGAGGTTTTTCAGCTGCCTGCTGTGGCCAAAAAAAAAACAACACTGATGTGGTACAAGATAGTCAAACAAAATAAAAGATGCTCAAATGCTCCACAGCACTATGAGAACTGTAGAATCTGGTAAAAGTTCTATAATGTAAAAATGCACCACGAATGACATCTCCTGCATAGCATCTTGTCTTTTGAGTCATTGCTAAGGTTAAAATATGAGTATTTTTTTAACATATCACATTAAAAGCCCTGTGAGGAGAACTGGACTATTTCTTACTTGTCTTGGCTGACAGCAGTTTATTTAATTTGCCATTGACCAATAATGTCAGCAAAGGCGTCATCCAAAGCGGAAAAGGTATTTTTGAGAAGTTTCCCACAACTGAAAAGTCTGAGAGAGCCTGACACATGGGAGTGATTAACAGTAATATCCATTTACCACCAGATGTCTCAATTTCTTCATTTCATCACATTAATTGGCTGATTTGTTACTGAACGGTTATCGTTTGATTCCCCCAGAGAGGAACCTGAACCCGAAGGCGGCGTGTCTGCGGAGGAGAGAGGAGGAGAAGGCGTCGGCCGTCATGACCGATCCTCAGTCCATGCATCTCGCTTTCCATCCCAGTCTGACAGACCCGGCAAACCCCATGGGCCACCTCTGAGCACCCGATAGTGACCACATCAAGTATTTAACATTAACTTATGCAGTTTTACATCACTGACAAACAAACTGATACATGCATGCTACGGGATTTTCAGGACACAAAAACAAATTCTAAAAAAAAAATCTAACCACAATCTAAACTGGTGGATATTTCTATTTAAAACAAAAAATAAATATATTTAGATGAAGTTCTTCAAAAATCCATTTATAATATTTGTATAAAATTGTCATTATTTGTGATGCCAGTGTGTCTTTGACGTCCAGATGTTGAATGAAGAGCATCCCAGGAGCATCCAGCTGTTCTGGGTGTCCAGCGTTTCTTCTGAATTTGGACCGGAGCGGAGAGGTCGTCCTCTCTCGTTAGAAAGTGTGATGCAGTTGAACAATCATCTCCTCGCTTCCCCAGCCGGACTTCTAACTTTGTGCCTGAACTTTACTTGTAAGAGACAAATGCATTGTAAGCTGCAGATGTTTTGTATATATTTTGTATATTTATTGATGATCCTTCTGTTGGAATATATCTGAACGGGTGAAACCCAGTAGTGACGAGGCGCCGTCTGCAGTTTGATATGTTTCTGACTGACTTTTAAAGTGTATCACTATCTTCCACCGAGCTCAGAGGACTTGACATTCCCATATTTGTGTTTCAGACAGCAGATTTCATTTGACCTGTGTGTTGCGTGTGTGTACGGGTGGAGGTTGTGTGTGAATATTGCAGAGGTTTGACCATTCTGTGAATGAACAGACCTCCAAGAATGTTCTTTAACATGCGGGCATCATCTGTTATTTGTAAATTTGTCCTAATAAGTTTGTGTTATTGCACTGTTAACAGGATTACACTTACTGAAACACTGGTGGACAGAATCCCTCCTCTTCTCAGTGTAATCATTGCTCTTCACATGTAGTCAGACAAGCTCTTTGCATGTTTGAGTTTTTAATAGAACTTTTCAGTTTTCTAAGTTATGTAAGTTATCTTTTATACAAATATTGTAAAATCCATCATGTCTCTGTTTGCTTTTGTCACTGATTTTACACAGGAAGAACATTTTAGTGCAGTTTACTAGATGTAGCTCAAATTTCATGCTCTGAGCAATACAGTGTTACAGAATAATTGATGTCTTGTTTACTTATCACACCAACGAACAGATGATACTAAAAAAAAAACAACCCAGAAATAATCTGAAATACTCCTATCATAACATGTACAGTATGTGTACAGTTTGAAGTAGCCTACAGGCATGTGTCAAAAATAATAATGTAGCAATAAATGTCATTTTTCAAATCGTTTGAGTCTGATTGGTTTGTTATGTAGAAGCTTAAAATACACTCACATCTATCATCTATCTACAGTATACTAACATGCCAAGTCTCAGTTTGACTATTTCCTCATGTTAACAAACATTTTTTAACATAAAATCTATATTGAAAATAAAATCTCCCAACATGGAAACTCAAAACAGTGAATGTAGCTGTGATCACTGAAACAAAACTGAGTACATCTTTGATTTTCAGATCATCTTAAATGCATCAACATGGTCAGGAAGTTCCCTGTAAACACCAGAACACTCAGTTTTACACTTTTTGACTTTTAAATTTTCTACATCGTGGCTCTAAATGAAAAAGAACTGACAGAGGCTCTAAAAAAAATCTGATTGTGAGACCTCACAAAGATGGGAAAAGATACAGGAAGATTGATGGTCAGGAGATATAGTACAAGAGATAGAACCACTAACCAGAACCGCAGTGGCTGTCTTTCTGAAACGACACTGGGAAAAGTGCACTGCCTGCATCTAGCTTTGAAAAACAGACAGGCAAGTGCTTCAGACTTGGTACAACGGTTATCAATGGAAAAGTGGAGTTTCTGTTACAGCTCAGACAGTGTGAAGGACACGGCATAATGTCAACGTCTGAGGGAAGTTTCCAAGAAAAAAACAAAAACAAAAACCTTGCTTGCTCTTTGACACAAACCTGCAGGAATAAACTTTGCTAAATGGCATGAAAAAAAATCCCTAATGAATGTTCTTTGGTCACATGAAACCAAGATAAATTTGTTCAGCTCAGATGAGTTCCAGCATGTTTGTTGTGAACCTGGTCAGGACTGCCAGTGAACGCACAGTCCTGAGAGTGGAACACAGGAGTATGATAATATGGGCCTGCAAGTGTGTGGAAAGGGTTGGGTCGAGGACATCTGAATGCCTGTGGACATACCAAAATGCTCTTTAACAAGATCTTGGCAGTGGAGGAATATTACAGCATGATAATGAGCCGAAGCACATTGCCAGAATCATACAAGAATTCTAAAGAAGAAAAAAAGTGAAAACCATGTTCTGGACAAATATGCAAGTGTTGAAGCAAACAGGACACATTTGGGGTATTTTGAAAGACAAGAGCAGCAAAAACCCTTCAGTAAAGAACAGTTTTCCAGAAATTTGTGAAACACTGTTGTCCTCCATGTTAAAGTTGGCAAATATGAAATATTAAAAACTAAAATATTAGAATTTTACTGCTTAACTTCTTAAGATCAGACACATTTTGGGTTATATTATCACAGTAGTTTTTTTTATTATTATTTGTTTTTATTTTTATTATTTTAGAATTATTATTATTTATTTTTTTTTTTAAAGTAGATTTAAAAAAAAATAAATTTTAATATATTTTTATTTTCTTTATATTTTTTTTTTCTAAATAGAAAATACATATGAAACAAGATTTCGTAAGAGGTTAAAGCGGACTTTATTTTAATCAAATTTCTACAACAGGGCCTGTATTTTTTTTAATATAGTAAACTGTTAACTTTTAATTTGATATAAGAGCAAATGCCTACAGAATGAATGCAGGTATTGTAACGTGATATAATTTTGAATTATTTGACATTCAAGTGATTTTGAACACTCACATACAGTATCTTGTACACTGAAAGGCCTTTTTTTTTTTTTAAATGATCATTTATGTGTGAAAACAGCAATAAGAAGTAACTGACACTGAATCTAAAAGAAAAAAGGGGGAAAAAAGATCCAGAAAGTTACAAACATTTTGCAAAAACGGAGGAAAGGCTTTTCCAAAACTTCAACCTCTGACAGTGAAAAAAAAGAAGTTATTAGTATTATTATTTTATCATTGTCACCCACATTTACAAGGCTTGTATGGAGAGAAGTCAGGTTTTTATTCTTAATAAACAAAAAGGACCAGCTTTGGTTGGCTTTGCAGCAGCAGTGTGTGCTGGATGTGACAGCAGGCAGTGAACGCCTCTCTGAGCGGCCGGGGAGGACCGTGTCCGGGCGGAGGCAGGACAGTCTGGTCGGACGGAGGAGGAGGAAGACTCACAGCAGACTCACTGCGGGTAAGTTTCTGATCGATTTCTTCACGATCGAGGTTTCCTCAAACGTATCGATCTTTAGGCTTCATCTGCTGCGATCACTGGTGAGTTTGCGGATCTTATTCTAACTTTTTCTCCTTCATCCTCTTCACTTCCTTCTGTAACCGATAACAGGACGCGGACTTTTTTTTAGGGATTTTTTTTGCGTTTACGCCTTTATTAATGGATATTTTTGCCGGTTGTTGCCTCTTTTGTTGTGTTGAGGTGAAGTTTATCAGGTAAAACATGATAAACGCAGATCAGCAGGAAATAGACTGAGTTTACCTGCAAGTGACAGAAAACGTTAATCAGCAAAACACAACTTGTTCACGTTGAAGTGAACGACAAAAGTGCAGAGATGTGATCCAAAAACATATTAGAAAACACTGTATAAAGGCTTGTTAAGGATAATACATCATTTGCAAATAGTTCACTGAAAAGTTTTAAACTGTTAATAAGAATCTCTTTCAGGTTGCCAGGTTGACTTGACATTTGCTGTCTTTTTAATTCATTAGAAAGTCCCCTTAAATGGGTTGTTCAACCACCAAAACTACTTATTACCAACTTACATGACCTGAACTGTCCATTTAAAGGGTTTTTGTTATTAATTAAGGAATTAATTAAAAGCACAAATCAAGTATTACCATGAAGGAGGACTTTCTTCAACCTGGCAACCCAACCCAACTTAAAGCTGATCTATGAAGTTGTTATTATATACTTACAACCTCAAACTTTCTATTTGATTAGGGGATGCCCAGCTGGTCTAGACATTCACAGGGCTTTAATATAGATTTGTAGGGTTTAGATTATTGCTACGTTAACATTATATCCACAGCATTAATAACACTATAAAGTCTAAACCTCAATATTACACTTGGTGGGTTAATTTGTAACATCAATAATTTTCCTTTTTCCTGGAAAGCACCATGCAACATAGCTGCTGTTTTAAACTGGCTGTATAAATAATGGTGGCTTGATTTGACTTGACCTTGTAATTGGACATAATTATTGCAGGTTTGACTCTAGACGCCTTTGTTTCATGCCGTTGCAGTACAGCGCCAGTCAGCTCTCCGATAAAGACACTAACTGCAAGAAAAATATTCATTTTGTGATGAAATTAAGGGCTAGTTCATGAGGAAGGAGGTTTTTTGTATAACCTGGCAACTCAGAAAAATCAGCTTTTTAATGATTTCAAATTAGTTGTGATAATGTTGATGTCAGTCATGGGTAGTGTTGGTGGAATAAAGGATCAGTTATAATGACGTTTGACCCTTGACCACATGTAGTAAACTTCTTTTTACAGGTTGTCAACTAGTTTGCGTATGGACAACTTTTGGCTGTTTTGTTGGGTTGTTGTTGTTGATCCTGGCAGTGTTGGTTATGTTTTGATGCCCAGAATCGGCTCAGTCAAGGTTAGGTCTGCCGCTTTGGTTGGGGTGATTGTAGCCCCATGCTGGCAGTGTCAGGTCAGTCTCAGCATCTTTGCCAATGTATTTGGGTCTATTCTGGGGTGCTATTCATAACCCAGTTTTGTGGGGCAGCCATTCAGAGGTCAAATTAATGATCTGGTCTTTGTGGGGGTAAACCACTTTGGCCACCTGGCTTCTAACAGGTCACAGTAGTGCTTGATGAGTAACTACTAACAAAGCCACTAGTTACAGCTTGTATACCTTTTGTACAGCGAACTGTCTCAGAGAAAGGTACTAATATTGTTGCTGAACCTATAAATGAGCTGCAGTGTTATTAATGACAGTGACCAGGCTCAGGATGGGGCTCTTAAGCAGATACCATGTTGTTAGCTACACAACATCTCTTGTGTTTGTGTGTTTCAGCCTCACAGTAACGTATTTGTTGTAATTTTCCTCAAGTGGTAACCATGAAGTGGGTGACGACACCTCAGCGACCCCGGCCAGTCGTAGTCGTCATGCAGTTGGCTCAGCGTGAGCTGTACAATAGTAGCCTGTCATTAGCACACAGAAGGAGCTGTTTTCATTGCACAGCAATATCAGGCTCTCGTCAGTGTCCATTTATTCTGCCTTTATGTTGGATGAGTGCAGCTGTGTGAGGAGCTCCCTGGATGTCTGTCCCACCGAGGCTCCGGCCCTGCTCCAGTGTTGTGTAAACAGCTTGACCAACCCAAAGCATCAGTTTTCAGTTCACTCTCCCATGCAGGTCCGTCTCCTTCAGTGTCATTTTTAATATACCTGCCTGTGTTGTCACCAGTTCGTCAGAGTCAGGATGGAGTCACACAGACCGAGCGGCTCTCCAGACGTCAGGATACAGAAGGGCTACATGCTGCAGCACAGTCCCAGAGGCAGCCCGGACAGCCTGTTTGGAGTGAGGGTGCAGGTCCAAGGGATTAAAGGTCAACCTTTCGTGGTTCTGAACAGTCCTGGTCAGGAGAGCCACAGGGACATTTCTGTCATCACTCACCAGGCAGGGTACAATCCAGGCATGGTGAGGAGGTCTGTAGATGAAAGACACTCTCCGTCCGCAGCACAGAGGACGGGGAACTCCTCTGCATTTCATTATCAGCAACACCCAGAGATCCTGAGACCTTATGACCCAGAGAGCAATAACCTGAGCCAAGTCATTCCTTCTCAAACAGCCTCTCGACCTGGACAGCAACACACTGGCCTTCTCCAAGAGAAAACCCAAACTACCAACGGTTCCAAACCCAGGATCCCTCTGCCTGCCGAGGGCCCTGAAGACCCAGCTGAGGTGACCAGCAACAAGACCCCTCTCTCTAGTGGACACATTCCTGCAAGAGCCCCCAGCTCAGTGGACACAGACTCCATCATGTCTGTAGGAAAGCTAATAAGCCAATTCAACAGCCGCCAAAGGAGGGGGAGAGGTCCAAGGAACAGGCTGGACCCGGAGGAGTGTCGGCGATCACGCAGCGTGGACAGCGGACGGACCTCCGACTCCTCCTCATCCTCCTCTTCATCCAGCAGAGCCTCGTCTCTGAGGGGCATCAGAGGTGAAACCCCAGGTGGGATTTATCCTCCCGGATCAGCCCGGGCTCGACTCCTCGGTGGAGAGACTGCTTTGGCAAGCAAAAGGGAGGAAAGCAAGCCAAGCATGCTGTTTAAAGGACATAACGGCAAAGAGATGGAATCTCAGCACGCCACAAACCTGCTTCACAGAGCAGAGAAACCATCCATCTCCTCGTCGTGTGGGGACCAAACCGGCGAATCTGATGACAGAGATGCTCAGGTAAAGAGTTTCGTTTTAGGGCAAAGTTGCCATTTAAAAGATTGTATTTATTCGCTGTATGTTTTCTAACCAGGTCACTCCTGATCTTCTGAAAGGACAGCAAGAGCTCTCAGTAGATCCAACTGAAGACACAACTAGACAAATACTGTTCACTTACCTGAAGGATGGGTAAGTGCTGCTCAGCTTTCCATACTTTAAGTTAATGTAATTGTCAGACATTTTGGGAAACATAAGGCTGCTTTCTGCTGCAGGAACTCAAGGCAGGTGTGGGGTGGTATGAACATTTACAGTAACATCCCTATAACTGGCCCTCTTAGCCTTTCTCTTTCCACTGTGGGTTGGATCTGACAGCTTTGACCACCATGTCAACTCCAAATGTGTCAAAACAAAAACACATAGTTAAAGCATGATACTCCAATGGAAGGTTTGTTGTCTTATGGCACAAATTAGGGTTTTAGGTTAAGTATGTTATGTTTAAGACGGGAAGACTGTTATTTGATGAAGATAGGGCAGAAAAATGGTTGTTGACCTCTTTGAATTTGACCAAAGTCGCACAGCAGTGTTCCACCTTGGAGTAGGTACTTTTTCTCCCTGAAAACAACTTTGAAAGACTCTTTACCAGTGGTGGATCCTGCATTTGGAGCAAAAGGCTGTGGTGACCCTAAAACTGTCCTGCAGTGGAAAACAGCTTATGGTTACTTAAACTCCCACATGCTGAGCTTACCATAACGACAACTTTATTTGTATTGCTAGGTTTTAAACACAAAAACTGCAATTAGTTACAAATTACACCTACCTCCAAATCTGAAGCTCCCTAATCAACACGTCAGACCTTGTTAATGTATCATATACAGCAACAAAAATGTTTAAACAAAGCTGTCGTTATTCCTTCACTTGTTGTATTAAGAGCTGTAGTCTAACAAACACAATGCAACCTGTTAATTTGGGAGCTTTAGATGAGCTGGTAGGCGACTTTTGTTACATTTTGACAAAGACAGGCCAGCTGTTGTCCTCTGGTTCTACTTTTTATGCTAAGCTAAGCTAAGCTAAGCTAAACAGGTTGCCAGCTGTAGCTTTATATTTGGCAGATAGTTTTAAAGGTGGCACTGATCTTCCTGCATAAATCACACACACAAAAAAATGTGTATTCTGTCACTTTAAAACACCCTAATGAATGACTTTGCATTCGTGCATTCAGGTGATTTCCAATAAAAATGTAATGTTTTTTATTTTTTTTTAGATTTTAAATAATACTGTGTCTTTTTTACGCCCTGATTCAGAAATGAGCTTGTGGTTGTGATCATGCAGCGCAGTCAGATACACTCCAGCTGTGTGAGCTCAAACACGCAGTAGTCAGGAATGCAGAGCATGAACTTTCTCTCACTGATAAAATATCTCCTTCACACGGAAAATTCTGAAGATCTCCCAGTGCCTGTGTTGTGCCATTTTGAAAAATGTGCTGAGGTAGATTTATTAACTGCTGTTCATCGCTGAGTGAAAAAGAAAAGTTACACATTTTCCTTTCTGCATACCAAACCTTAAACAACTCTGCACCGCTCAGAGGTCACGCACTGCCACGCTGTGTCTTTGTTTATTTGACAACTGATAAAAATTTCAGTTTATGCTGTTACTGTGTTTGTAAAAGTTTTTCTTGCTTCCCAGGACGACTGACGATGACCCCACCACCCAAAGAAAAGTCAACCTGCTGCTGGAGAGGATCGACAAGCTCAAGTGGAGGACTGCTGAGAATGTGGAGGAGGAGAACAAAGTGAGTGTTGGCATGAGGTGTTTGCCAGTGTTCAGCATGATTTAATGCCTTTGTCTGAAAAACTCCTGATGATATTGTGTTGCTGGACGTGTTTGTTCAAATATGCAGGACGTGAAGCTGCTGCAGGAGAAACAGGCAGCACTGGAGAAGGAAGTGTCGGAATTAAAGCAAAGACTGGAAACTGAAATGAAGGTGCAGTGCAGCCCCATCCTGCTGATTCACAACTCACTTCCGGTTGCTGTGACTGATGGTGTTCCTTTCTGCCGCTGTTGTATTGTGCAGAATGAAATGACCCTGGCCAAAGCCTGTGAGAAGGCGAGGACAGAGAAGAAGAAACTTCAGGAAGAGTTGACCAAAAGCCAGGCAGAGCTCTGCAAGCTCAGGGACAAAGTGGCTGAAGTTGATGCAGAACTTCAGTCCACCAAACAGCAGTAAGGATGTGAATTTAAATCTCTGCTTAGTGAAGATATTTAGATTTTAACAGCTGAAAAGAGGCTGTAGTTAAACTTGAAAGTAAACACAAACAGATAGAAAACTTATATGAACTCTCTAAACAAAGGGCTGGACAAATGAACTACTGATGGATAAATATGTCGTTTATTTGAGGGGTTCAGTGCCAAAGCGGGCCAAACCACAAAAAAATCCAAAGTTGAGTTTTATGGTTTTTTTTATGTGTTTATGGTCTACTAGGTCGTAGTGAAGTGGTCCAACCAACAGCCCACTAGTAATGTCACAATGTGACTTTGGAGTTTTGTTCATAATGGTTTTGGCATGAACATTTAGTGGCAGACTGAACCAAACCACAGGAATAGCTGACCATTATGTCACGGGCGCAGGTAGTTGCACGTGTTTATGATTCAAGATGGCTGACAGCGCCTCGTGAAAACTCAACTCGTAGGTACGCTAAGGTAAAATAAAAACTTAATTAACCGCCACCAAGCATCTATTTCTACCCCATGTTCCTCGAAGGTATCTCTAGTTCCTTGGGAAGACCCATGTAAACTCTTCAGTGCTGTTTAGCAGAGAAACCTTGAATCATTTTATTTTCTCAAAAAGTAGAAAATATGGTATGGTATGGTATGGTATGGTATGGTGTGGTATGGTATTGGCACTTAGCAAAAGGAAAGGCAAATTAAAACGTAAATAAGTCATAACAAGGTAACTGTTTCTATCTCTGGACAGTGTTGAAACATCTTTGGATGCATATAATGACTCCTTCAACAACCATGATCCTTTTTTTTTTGCAATACAAAATTTTGACCCCAGTTTTCTTTAAAACTAGTAAATGTGGTTTGGCCCACTTTGGCACAACCCCCCTCATTTGTCCATAGACAGACTCACCGGTTTGACACAAATGGTCAGTGTGTGGTTATTTACTCTCTTATGAAACGTCAGATGTGAAAACTAGAAACAAATGTCTAACGTACTTTTGGTTATTTCTTGACTTCTGAAAGTCGCTGCTCCTCAAGAAGAAAAAGCCAGAACAGGCTTTTTGCATCGATTAACTAAACGAGACCTAAAAATTAAATATTCGTATTTTCTGTAGGCTATCTTTTGTCCCATGTCTGTTGTTGTCATGCTCTTTTTGTGACTTCAGAATTTTCTGTGTCGAGGTCTCCCTCGAATAAGAGATTTTTTATCTAAAATAACTTCCTGGTTGAAAAAAGGTTAAATAAATGCAGAATAAATAAATATTGCATTGATTAGTGATTAGCTTTAGAGGTGCTGATATGTAGATTTTGTTACCTTTGGGCAGAGCCAGGCTAACTGTTTTACTGTTTCCATGCTAAGCTAAGCTAACTGCTTGCTGATAATAGATTCATACTTGGACGTGAGTGCTGCATCATGCAACAAAACAAGTTGTCATACTCACTAAAACATCAAAACTGTTCCTTTAAATGATGCTCTCAACATCTAGTGCCATTAGACAGAATGTAGTTAATACATTTATGTCTTTTTCATGAATAGTGAAGCTGCTCTGAAATGTAGAACCAAACAGACTGCCTTAACTCAGTGTTCTGTTCCGCTTTCTTTACTAAGCCTCTGCTCAGACTCTGGTCACTCAAGTGAACTGTGACGTATGATCGGATGAAGGTCATTTGACTGAAAGCTGAGTCAAATACGTTACAGTCAGGTTTAAGTGTGCAGATGTTCTTTTTAAATTTGCTTCTACTTCAGTGACTTTCAAGCAAAAACATGAGGAGGTTTCTGTCTTTGATATAAAGTGTGGAACTAAAGTATGTCGTTCCTGCATATTTCTGATTTTTTTCCCCCCATGTTGTCAGGTTGACTCACATGAAGGCAGATAAAGAAAGATCTAAGGCCGAGATGAAAGACCTTCAGCAGCAGCTCTCTGAGATGCACGACGAGCTGGACCGAGCCAAGAGGGCGGAGGTGGTAAACACGCAGAAAGAAGTCCTCCTGCAGGTAAATGAAACCACAAGAACAAGAGACTCCTCACAAATCAACAGCAGCTGTAAAGTTCGTTCACTGTCGTTTGTTTTTGATGGGTGTCTGTCAGGACCTGGCGCAGCTGCGTGTCGACTTCCAGGAGATGATTCAGGTGAAGGAGGAGCAGGAGGAGGTGCTGCACCACACGGAGAGGGAGCTCAGCGCCCTGAAGGGGGCACTTAAAGAGGAGGTGGAGACTCATGATAAATACATGGCTGCTCTGAAGGAGGAATATGAACAGGAGCTGGAGAAGCTCCTCGGGGATTTGGAGCAGGCTAAAGAGGTAACAGGAAAGATGTGATTTGCTCTGATATCAAACAGGTGTAACGTGGGTTGCTTTGATGTTTATCAGCTGCATTTTCATTTCTCAGAGCAATTCTGTGCTGGGCCAGAGGAAGGTTGAAGCAGAGGAGGAGAGAGGTGCAGCAAAGGTGCAGCTGAAGGAGCTGAGCCAGGACAGAGATGTGCTGAGAGGAAAAGTGCAGGAGCTCAACAACAAGGTGGATCAACTGAGTCAGGCCATCCAGGAGTCCAAAACCAACGAGAGGCTGATGGAGCAGAGAGCGAAGCAGCTGGAGGTGGGGAGAAGCAGTGGGAGCAGACAAATGTTTGATACAAACACGAGTAAAATACCTGATTTACTTTATATTTTATTTGTTTCCAAATTATATCAGAGTGAAATGAAATCTGTTTTTCCACGTCCTGTTTTCACCTCAGAGGGAAAAGCAGCAGGTTGAGGAGATGCTGATGGAAGTGAGGAGGAACGAGGAGGAGATGTGTCAGTCTAACCAGTCACTGCTCCTTCGTCTGGAGGACGTGCAGGTAACAGGGCAAGAGTGTTAAGAGAAACAAAGCCTGAATGGCATACAACGAATGATATCTAGACATGAGATGAGACACAGTTCTGTTCTTTGTGTTTTCTTCTGCCAGAGTAAGCTGACCAAACTAAACTATGAGCACAGGGACCTGAAAGAGAAGCTCAAGGAGGAGAAGAAACAAATCGAGGAGCTGTGGAGGACAAAAGCTGAACTGGAGGATGAGAGGAGGCTGCAGGACAGGACTGTGGAGCAACTGCAGAGGAAGGTGAGAGGTGGAAACATACTATTTATTAGGCTTCAGGGCGAAATTCAGCATGTTTTTGGAGCCATTCGAGGCCTTAAAGTCTGTTATGTTGACCCTGAAACAACATGAGATCAGCAGAAACTGCTGACGTTTTTTTGTGCTTGCAAAGCTTCTCTCATCCCTTCATTTACCCAAAGACAACCACGTATCTGAGCTCTTTGTTTATCTGTCTGCTCAGATGAACAGCATCATGGAGGAGTGCGAGGCGAGTACAGATGTGCTTCAGAACCAGGTCGACGAGGCCAAAGAGAGGAGTCAGAGGGAGTTGGCCGAACTGCGGAGACAGCTGCAGGAAAAGGGAGCAGAGCTGGAGAAATCCAGACAGGCGGCCAAAAAGCTGCAGGAAGAGGTGTGGTGCTCATTGTCTCCCTGATTCACCAGTACGAGGGTTCAACTGTCTTAGTCACCATGAAAACAATAAGTCAGCTGCAGGGATTTTTCCCTCTCAGTAGGGGAATCCTAAACCAAATGTTTTGTTTGACATGAAATTAAAATCAAGTGCTATCAGGCTTAATAATTTCAGATTTATCGCTGCCCAACACCCGATATTGTGCGTTTCTTTATCTTGATGTATATGTTTAGTCTGAGGTGTGTTTTGTGTTCAGCTGCTTCCTCTGGAGGAGGACCTGCGTCGGTGTCGCAGGGAGCAGCAGGAGGCCCAGCAGAGGGGCCGGCAGCTGGAGCAGAAGGTGGAGGAGCTGGAGGAGAGGAGTGCTGCCACGGTGGACGAGCGAGATCGACAGGTCAAGCTCATGGAGGTAAACATGTCAGGATGCTCCACATCACCAAAGCCAGGAAATTAAAAAGATGCTAAACGTGTATCCAAATGAAAACCATCTGCATCAACATGAATGTGAATTAATAGTTACTTTTTGATGAAAATAGAAACAAAAAGACAAAAACACATCCACATACTGCTGCTGTATCTTGGTCACAATCATTTTATTCATCACTGAAATGACAACAATTAACAAAACAACATTAAAACCACCTGATTAATATTATGTTGGCTCCATTCATGCCCCAAGAACAGAACAGCTGGGTGCATGGACACAGGATCTTTGGGGTTGTCCTGTTGATTACAGCACTAGGACGTTGGCAAGGGGATCCTTTGGGTCCTGTGGGTTGTGGGGTGGGACCTCCGGGGATTGGACTTGTTCTGGTGCATCTCACGGTTGCTCAATTAGCTCGGACTCTGGGGAGTTCGGAGGCCGTGTCAACACCCTGGACTCTTTGTCATGTTCCTCGAACAGTTTTTGTGGATCGGCAAGGCACATTGTCCTGCTGGGGGGGGGCTGCTCGGGTGGTGCAAGAATGTAAATTATATATGATAATTCAATGATGATATATTTTATATTATTAAAACTGTATTTTTGCTGCATTGTATCCAAACTTCTTTATAGGTGCTTACAGGAGGAGTTACAGTTGTTGACGAATGCATTAAAACACTGACACTTGATAGTTGAGTGATTTGGACTCAGACAAAATGGGTGCAAATGCCATCTGCAGTCCTTAGTTTGATTCCTGGCTGCTCTGGTTCCACAAATTTTCTGTCTCTTTCCACTGTCACTACCTGAAAAATGCATAGAAAACCCCTCAAACAGCGACATTACATCATGTTCTAAACCGTTTTTAAAAAAAGTGTTTGTGACCCGTTTATACATTATAAATATGTGGGCCTAAAGTGAGGTATTATTAAATTGTGCTGTTGTTCTGTAGTTTTCACAGATATTCACGAGGCCAAATCATATCAAATATCTCTGAGCTCAGCGTCAATCTAATCCCTCAGTAAAGCTTGAAGATTAAAATCTACCCGCAGCGGTATTACAAGATGTTTAGACGACAACAGTAATGTTCCCTGACATGATAGTTGCCAGAGTTCAGACTTCAATCACGTTTTCAAGTGTTTATCAGTTCACATGCCTGTATTTGTCACCTGCTCCTGTGAACTGTTGAAAAGAGACGTGGAAACAACATCTCACAGCTCGGCGCTGTTTGTCTTGTTGCTGATGACAAAACATTACACAGTGACACCAGTGTGCTCTCTGTTGACACTGCGTATCAACCGAGGAAGCTCGTGTTTACTGTAAAAAGTTATCAGACCTGTCTGGGTGTTCTCAGGGATCTTCTTTCACCTCCACCACCACCACTGTTCTTTGTTCAGCAGTCACAAACACACAGCGGGGGACAATCTTGAGTGTTTTTTTCAAACGCTGTCTTCTTCCTACTCGCTACCTTCTTTCTCTAATCTGAGTCAGACTTCTAGCCATGGTCTCAAGCGATAAATGGATCATGTTCTTTTCTAAACATCGCAGTGTAATGCCATATAAATTAACTTGATTAAAATGTGTTCCTTCTCCTCTCAGGGACGCATCGGTCAACTAGAAGAAGATCTTAATGATGAGCGCACCGGTGCTGACCGTCTGATGGAGCGACTTGACAAAACCAAAGAGCAGGCAGGTTTACTCCCTCGCTTCTTATTCATGCTCTCATTTTTGCATTAACTAACATTCATAAATTTCCCAAAAGGGTAGAAACAACCCATCAGTGATAGAATTACTGCCTGTCTCCAGTTGGAGTACTCGGCCCTGTGTGTGTTTTTATTATAAACAGATGTAGGGCTGCGTGCTCAGATTTCCCCTCAGACACTCAGTGAGCTGCTGATTGGTGTTTCCAACCTGGCCGTGAAACTGCTTTCCTTAACGCTCAGTCAGATCTCAGTATGACTCAACTCTTTCAACTTGATATACGTTTCCTCGTTTCTTCATAAGAGCCTCACATCTTCACTGCGCCTGTAAAGTAGGCCACCATTCATGGGAGCAAAGTGGTGCAGACTAATTGATAGAAATCTCTGTTTTGAGTGCGGTGCAAAGACAAAAAAAAAAAACCCACCAACTATTGTGAGCAGCTATTCACACTCCCTGCGCTGGGCCTCTACATGTTATTAGTGAGGAGAGCCTCTCTGTCTGATGTGGCCACGCAGATCAGACAGCATTTCCCCTGGTTTCAGGAGTAAAGCTGGAAACTTTTCATTTAGTCTGAAAGTGCATGTCATCAGGTTACTGCCCTTTTTAATAACATACTGCCGTGTTTTCAGTCAATATTGAAGGGATTACAGGTGAAATGCAGGTTCATATTTACCTTCACGGTTAGACGTGACAGCTGTTCAGGGTTCACATGTCCTTGTTAACTTAATGAACAGTAATGCTTTGCCATGTAATGTGAGCAAATGCTGTGTTTACAACCATGTTTCTTTCTTTGTTGCTTGACAGATGGATCAGATGAGGAACGAACTGACGCAGGAGAGAGGAGTCAGGCAGGACCTGGAGTGTGACAAGATGAGCCTGGAGAGACAGGTAATGATCCAGAGGTAAAACCATGTATGTGACATTCAGAACCACTGGATGTTGCTAAAGCATCAAATGAACACGTATGCCACGCTTTCCTCCGCCCTTCGAGTTTCATTTAAAACCAAAGATGCTGCGTACATGAGAACCAACAAAAACTAATTTCGCCACAACTATGACCTCACACTAATTCTGTAAATACACCAGAAAGAGCTGACTGTAAAGTTGACCTGTGACCTCCAGTCCATGTGCATCTGTTTCACCACGAGTCCTACATACAGACACACACATGGTAAAACAGAAACACATCGACCAACAAAACAGCAGTAGAGACTCTCACACTAAGCTTAAATAGAAGTTAGTCCACATAAATTTAGTAAATAACAAAAATAAAAGACTTCAGTTCAACACTTTGTTTTTCGGGGCGCCGGCTGAGCGCTCCGTCCTGAACTCCCATCTGCGCTGTCGTTTCCGCTTTTGCAGTGCTGTGCGCGAGGTCACTCCATCTGTTTTTAAACGTGCAGAGGGCCGACAGTTTCAAAGGGAAGGACTCACATGCACTAACAAGGACGCACAGCCGGACCTGCTGCCAAAACATTGAACTGAGGAGCTCAGATTACAATACACACAAAGGAAATGTGACTTCATCCTCTGCTTAGGACACCATTACTCCACTACATTTTGCACAGCAGCTAGCTGTTTCCTGCTGTATTAATGAAATCTCACATATAGAGCCTTTGAGGTCGACTTACTGATGCCACAAACTGTTACTGAACAAAGACGTGGGTTATGATCTTGTGTTTAAATACTGACATGACACACATTTGTGTTTTTTTTTTTTCATCTTTTAGTTATTATCCTAATAGCATGACGGCACATTAGCCTTGTAGCTCTTCCTCACATTCCTCCACCTTCTGAAACTACATGAACATAATAAACATGAGAACTGAATTGGTCTCTATGAGCAAACTCTATCTGTAGATGAAAGCCATAAAATGAGCGCAGTTTTCAGAAAGTATAACGTGTTTTTAGTGGTTTTGTGGAACTATTTCGGAAGTTATTTATGAAACTTAAAGCCCAACAGTGGCATAGTGTGATATTTAATGAGTAAACTGTCATTCTTCCAATCACATTTTGTGACTACCTGCCCATATCTGCAAGACATTGAAATGCAAAAGTTATTAGCAATTATGAATACTCTGCTGATGTCTAAATATTAACAGAAATGTACTTGAAACTGCTCTGTGGGGTTTTCTTGGTAACAAACCAAAGGTTTCCATTTCCGTTTATTATTACTCAACACAAACCACTGTGGGCATTCTTGAGTTCTAACGGATACAGAGAATGCATTTCCTTCCTGTTGCAAAGCGGATTATTTGTTCTTCCTACATTGATTAATTGCATGTGCTCTTTTGTTTTGGACGACAACAACAACAAAAAAACTGAGACCAACTCAGAGGAATAATTTCCCGTAAGGCTATAAAAGAGCCAAAACTCTGCAGGGTCCCTTTAAATGTAACCACATTGGTGACATTCTTGATTTGGTTTCCTCTTGTCAGAATAAAGACCTCAAGAGCAGAGTGACTCATCTGGAAGGATCACAGAGGACCAACCAGGATTCACTCGTCTCCAAACTTAACAGCCGCATCCAGGAGCTGGAGGAGAGGCTGCAGGGAGAAGAGAGGTGAGCAGCAGCAGCATGTTAAAATACGACCTCAAGACATTTTCTCATCAAAACATTTACAGACAGAAGTAGTCCGTATTAATGAGTGCAAGGTAACACTTTGGCTAATGGCTCCATCAGATACTTAGTGGTAGCTGTTGAGCAGTGAACCCACTCATATCACTTTCCCTGCGGTTGTAAGAGGGAGAGTCTCTCTCATCCGAACACACTGGGAAGGTGTTTAGTTACAGGAAGCTGCGGCAGCGATGTGATCTCTCCTCTGCTTTTGCTCTCAGGGACAACAACAGCCTGCAACAAGTGAACCGCAAGCTGGAGCGCAAGGTGAAGGAGATGAAGATGCAGGCGGACGAGGAGCACGTCAACCTGCAGAGCGAGAGAGACCAGGTAGACACTTCATTAAGAAAATGCGGCTATCATGAAGCAGTCGGGACTCCGGCAGACTTCACTCATGACTCACTATCCCACTTTTGTGAACTCCGCAGCTGACTCAGAGGCTGAAGACGGCAAAGAGGCAGATGGATGAGGCGGAGGAGGAGATCGAGCGTCTGGAACACGCTAAAAAGAAGTTGCAAAGGGAGCTGGATGAACAAATGGAGGCCAATGAGCAGCTTCATGGCCAACTGAGTGCACTGAGGAACGAGATGAGGTGACTATTCGCTTTCTGCTTCCTTCGTGTCTGTTACATCAACTCATGTTGTTGTGTAACTCCAGTGAATCTTATTTTCTGTGTGTTACCAGGCGTAAGAAGAAATCACCTCCCCTCATTAGGGTTGTGGAGAAGGACGCGAACGACATGGACGACTTTGGATCTGATTGACTGACTGATCTATGATTTTTAAAAACAACCAGACAGACATTTCGGGACTTTATTAAACAACGTTGAACTCACTGTGAAGAATCTTTGAAAACTTAATTCAACATAATTCCATTAACAACTCAGGTGTGACTTTATCATGTTTCCAGTTTGAACCATATGGCACCTTGCCAAGGCTGACCTCTTGTGGCAATATTTATAACTGCATTATCTGTCAAACCAGCACAACAACCCAGGCTCATTTACTCAGAGTGATTCTTTTTTTGTTCCCTAAGTTATTCTGCTGTTGTGTGAATTAAAAATGTGTAAACTGCAAACTTTAAACTAATAAATAAATGTATTAAAAGGCTTTTGCAACATCCAGTTGTGTTTATACACCTCCAGAAACCCATGAGGCAAGTGACCATATTTGGTAACTTCCTCTGCGTTCAATATGTCCACCCTGAAGAACCATGTGCACTTTGATTGAGTTTTTATATCAGTGCCAATATCACTACTTTACGAAAAATGTCACTAAACTAATGTTCCAGGCACTTTGTAAACGCTTTGTTACTGGTTTACATTGAACTCCACTTTGATTTATTTTTTGAGATCAGTGCCACTAAAACCACTACCCCAAGAAAAATGTCACTAAATGAACTTACCAAGCACTTTATAAATACTTTGTTACTGGTTGTGTAAGTATCATTACCTCAAACTAAAATGTTTCTAAAGAAATGTTTTTTTGCAGTTGGTTACTTTTTCTTTTATTTATTATAAATTCACTTTTTTCAACCATAGACGGCCAAGTTACCATATATGGTAACTTTATTAATCTTGATTTGCAACAGTTGTTTTCTTAAAAGTCACAAAAGTAAAAATATCTTGAAACATCCTTCAATAACACCCCAGGGTTGAAAGTTTCATTTTCCAAGTATTTCAAGGAATGCCCTATAAAGGCGTACAAGTGAAATAAATACGGGTGTGATGTTTGACTTCGACATAAACAAGGAAAATCACATTTGAGAGAAAATGTCAATCACCCTGTTTGACCTCTTCTGTGAAACTGTGCGTTGGTGAGGCTGAACTAGAGAGTGACAGCCATGATGGATCAATGGTCCGTGCTGAATGGCTGTGGCCGAGCAGAGGTGGAGATTTGACATGAGTCCTCCGATGAGCTCCAGAGGTTCAAACCACTGGACGCGTGACACTTTTACCATCTGTTGGCACGGCGATACATGGAAGTACAACACAAGAGAAGCATGAGGCAACACTGTGCTCTCAAACATGGAATATTCAAGGAATTCCTGGCAGAATTCCTGGGAACGTTTGTCTTGGTTGTAAGTAACATTTTTGCATGATGTATTGTGGGTTTTTAAAAAATGAAATGTTTTTCTCAGAAATCAAAACTGTTGCTGCATCACATAGTCTGTTTGCTTCACAGGTTGTTTCAGGTTACAGATGTTTACATGATTACTTGAATTGATTTCTTTGTGTTGTCCTGAAAGATTTTTAAGAGATGCAGCTGAAAACTTGTTGTTTTCCTCCTCCTCTCTGTTTATTAGTTGTTTGGCTGCGGCTCAGTCGCTCAGACCGTCCTCAGTCGAAACACCCTGGGCGAACCTCTCACCGTCCACATCGGCTTCTCTGTAGGCCTGATGATGGCAGCGTATGTGGCTGGTGGAGTGTCAGGTAAATGATTTCATGTCATTGCCAGCTCTAATCGATTATTTCTACTGAGGTCCAACTTATCTCACGTGGGCAGCAAAAGCCCAGCAACTCTGTTTGATATAGTACTTTGAATTCAGTGCATGTGCAACACAATGGTAATGGCTGGCATCCTGCCAAGTCAAGTGAAAAAAGTTTGAATATAGTTGTTACCAGTTTGTTTTTTGCATATTCAACACCTTTGCTGCCATATAATATAGTGTTTAGCAGCAACAGACTCTTCAATACATTTAAAATAATTCATAGTTAGTACGAGCAGCCCCTGCCAGAGCGTATAAAACAGTCTGTCACGGCTCTCTTGTACGTGTTGTAATGAAAACATTGTTACTCGTGAGACTTGCAGCTTGTAATAATATATTTTTATGGCTTCCTGTCCAGCCATGTGCCACCTCCACAGCTCCAGCGTCAGCCAGAACGTGCCACCTCTCAGTCCACATTCAATGAATATGCACTGCCCATTGATTTGTTAGCACTAGTCGGCAGCCTCTGTGGGGTCATACATAACCCTGGGCTCTAAATGTCCTGCAAAGCCCATTGATCAGAGGCTATACGTTCATCAGTCTATGACAGAGAGCAGACTCTCTGAAACGCCTCATGTGAGCAGCAGCTGCATCTGATGCCAAATCAAAGCACCAACAGTGTTTCATGTGGACACATCACTGACAGATTTCTAATATGTATGCTAAAAACAAACAACACTGCTGGGATGTGAGCATGGCTGAGGTAAAAATAAGAGCAGATTGTTTTTTGAGGGTGAATTTCTAATAAGTGACCATTATTCTGCCTCTTTGCACTTCAACATACATAATAAAACCCTGCACCGCCCCGAGGGCTGCTCCCCTTCTGCTGCCTCTCGTAAATGTGACGGCCTCACTAATGATGGAGAGGATATTATGCCAGATGCACCCCCACCCACTGCACCCCTCTTTCACTCTCTGCTTTGTCCTCTGTCCCAGGGGGCCATGTGAACCCTGCTGTGTCTCTGGCCATGGTGATTCTGGGCAAACTGAAGATCTGGAAGTTTCCCTTTTATGTCATCGCTCAGTTTCTTGGTGCTTTTGCAGGAGCTGCTGCAGTCTTTGGATTATACTACGGTGAACTAGCTCTTTTGTTTGTGTTTAACACCATGACAACTGGTAGTGATAGAAGTGATTACGTGCTTAGAGTCTCCAAAGCTTGGAATAAAGCCAACAGTTGGCTGTCACAGTGAAAATATTTGAGCCGCATGCTCATCAATACGAGGTACAAATGGATCCGCGTGCGCTGTTACAGATATCTATTATTATCTCCTCACAGATGCTTTTATGGACTTCACCAGCGGGATTCTGTCAGTGACAGGAATCAATGCAACAGGTCACATTTTTGCTTCGTACCCTGCGAGACACCTGTCAGTCCTCGGCGGCTTCATCGATCAGGTGAGTTCTGGCCCGCTGTGACCCAATGACCCTCCTCTCCATTGTGCACCGCCGCTCCCGTTCAGGCTCTAAATACTGCAAAGTCTGGCAAATGTGGCTAATGCAAAATTGATTGCCCCATTTAGTCTGAGAACACCCCCTCTTTTGCTTAGTTTTTGGGTCTAATGACCCATTTCCTGGCATTCACTGGAAGGTCACATCTACTTAACACCATTTTCAGGCTGTTTAGTCAGTGCAGCAGTCCAAAAATAACACGTCTGCCAACCTAGAACTGCTGAAAGCCACATCAGGTGAAGTGCTGAGATAAGTCTAATTAGTGGGGCTGCGTTGGTGTTAATGTTTCCTCTGTCGTTTCTGTGTAACGGCGGTGCTTAGAGGTCAGCTACAAGTTGCAGCCACTTATCTGAATAATTCATAGCAGTTAGATTTGAACACAAAAGATAAGACTTTTACATACCCAGCTAGAAGGATTCATATGCTGTAAATGTGACTTTAATTTCAGTGATCTTAAGTGTTTCAGTTGAAGGGAACTAGATATCATTTTGTGTTTGTTTAACCAAAAAGCACTGAGGACTACTATGACCTGCACAGAATCACAGACAATGTACCCAGTGACAACTATACAGGTTAACTCTGTAGGTTTTGATGGTTCAACATATTTGTTTGCAGTTAGAAAATTATGGTTATTATAAAAGATATGATACGGCTCTAAGACTTTCACGCATGTAGTGTAGAAGGCCTGTGCAGGAGAGGTAGGAAGCTAAAGTTCAATAAATACATGATACATAAATGCAATAAATAGCAGTATTTTAAAAAAAGAAAGAAAAAAAGGTCCTGTGTTGATTCTCTAGTGACCTAAACTCTGCCTTCCATCCAACCTGTGCTGCTCTGCTGCTGCAGGTGGTGGGGACAGGAATGCTGGTTCTGTGTATTCTCGCCATCATCGACGGTGGAAACATCGGAGCTCCTAAAGGCGTTGAGCCGCTGGCCATCGGTCTGATCATCATGGCTATCGGCGTGTCCATGGGCCTGAACTGCGGCTATCCCCTGAACCCCGCCAGAGACCTGGGACCCCGACTGTTCACAGCTGTGGCAGGATGGGGGATGGAGGTGTTCAGGTAACTGGGTGCCAGGATTCTGCTTTAAATACATTTGATGCATTAATTACAACAACATCATAGAGATAATGTGAT